CCATTCATCCACCCATCCATCCATCCATCCATCCAGCAATCCATCCATCCATCCATCCATCCATCCATCCATCCATCCATCCATCCATCCATCCATCCATCCATCCATCCATCCATCCATCCATCGCGGCTGGAGCCACTAGCTCTCCAGCGTTCCTCCACCTGTACCAGCTGAGAGACGTGAGCGTGTACGGGAGAACTCACTGTTGCAGTTCTGCTAAATTTAAAGTGTCAGTCAAAAATTGCAGTTCTTCGACATTTAACAAGATTAACACTTAAAAATATAGCAAAAGTGTGTCTCGGTTTAACTTTTCCTTAATAAATGCTCTTTAATGGTCAAAACAACTTCATTTCACCTTGGCGGCACCATCCATCAACCCATCCATCCATCCATCCATCAACCCATCCATCCATCCATCCATCCATCCATCTATTGCAGCCGGAGCCGCTAGCTCTCCAGTGTTCCTCCACCTGCACCAGCTGAGAGAAGCGAGCACATACAGGAGGACTCGTTATTGCAGTTCTGCTAAATTTAAAGTGTCAGTCAAAAATTGAGTTATGAATATGGAAAAAAAAATAACGTATATAAGTCACTTTGGTGTATAAATTGCAGGACTGATAAATATTTGCAAAAAATCCTGCAATTTATATGCTGGAAATATGGTCCCACCCTAATTAAGAGATTACAGCAGATTATTGTGGCATTTATAGATATATAAATATAATAGATAAATAGATAGATACATACTCCATGTATGTTAGGCTGCCTCCAGGCCTCCCTTGCAAAAGAGATCTGTGATCTCAATGGGATTTTTAAATAAAGGTTAATAAATAGACAGACAGAAATCAAAATGTGAAATAAACCCATAACTGTACCTTGGATGTGACTGAACAAGGTTTCACTGAAGAATCGAATCACTTCATCCTAATTGAGCTGTTTCTGTGTCGTACAAACGTTCCGGGTGTGTTTCTGTTCTGCAGGGAAGACCGGCATCTTTCAGCACGAGAACAACTCCATCGACACCGGGCAGGTCGACATTGGGAAGAGGGCGGCTCAGATCGTCCCCCCGGGGGTGTTCTGGCGTTCTCAGATAAACATGGACCAACCACACTTCCTGAAGTTCAACATCTCGGTGCAGAGAAGCGCGCTGATCGGAGTCTATGGAAGGAAGGGTCTCGCAGCTTCTCACACTCAGGTAAAAGAATCCTAAATGTGTGATTTTAGACTTGAACTCACTGTTTATCACCATTTATTTCAAGACTTGTGTTCTGTGTCAAACCAAAACGCCCTTTTAGCTCCGTCTGTGCTCAGAACTCTTTAAGGGTTTAAGTTTATCTCCTATTTTAGAGCATCTTTTGTTCCAGACAGCTCGAAGTGTTGGTGCGGCCGGTGAAGCACCTGCACTCGTTCCTTTACCGTGTGAGCAGACCGTACGTTTACATCATGTGAAAAATTATTACTTTTCAGCCCTAAAACTTTTATCATACAGCGTTTATGGATCTTTTAATTATTTACTATAGATGCTTTAAATCCCTGTATAAAGCACAATTATTCAAAAACATGTTTGTGTTAAACTGTAAAACAGCTTTAGTTTTTTAGGTTGTGTTTATCTTTCTTTTTTTTAAATGCCTAACTTCACATATCAACTCATTTCATAAATAAATTCACCGATTTTCTGCCGGAGCGGATCATCTTTTTTATACTTCTCCACAAAAGCTCTTATTGCTGATCTACTGCTCCTGTCTTTGATTAATGAACATTTTCATACAAATATTTTAAACATGTTCACTGCAAATCAATGAAGATTGGTAAAATAAAATTAATTTAATTAAATCTTAAAGTAAGAAACGAACTGTTCCATAAATTAAAAGTTTGCGAGCATCTGACAACTGCTGCATTTGTTTATTGATGGAAACAGCCAAAGTGACAATAAGAAATATTATATTATAATATAATAAATAAAAAAGTGAAAATAAGTCAGCAACGATGACGTCTTATGAAGAGCCGACTGGGATTAGGAAATCTGACAATTGTGATGGATTGTTTTATATTTATGCTCAGATTAGTTCAGTAAAATATGCAGATAAAATCAAATACAGTAAAATAATTGTTCACCTTGACTGAGTACTCACATTTCAGAATTACATGTCCATGTATCTGTAAAGATTTTAGTTTATGTCCGATAACAGATTACACTGACTACATGGATTAAACTTTTTATAATTAATTTTGGACTTGATTATTTAAAAGCCTGCTGGCTCAGTTTCATTACTTTTTAAATTTAATTGGTCTTTATGTATTTATTTATTTGTTTACTCATTTTTAATTGAAAGATGAATGACGTTCTGTTCTGAATAATCCTTCTACTGATTCTGGCTCATCGTTCGTCTCTGAATGAGAACTTCTCATAGAGTTGTCCTCGTCTCTCAGTTGTGAGCAGACAGGTTTCACCTTCACTAAAATGTCTGTTATTTGCAAACTGAAGTGTTTCCAAAATGTCCGGCGAATCCTGTGAATGACATTTTTGAGCATCTAAGGGTGTGATGTGCGCCGATGGTCTTGAAAGCACTCAGACAACGGTTATTTTCCACCACACTTGGTGGAAAAAGCTCTTAGCTTCACCTTTTGACAGTCTCCCTCAAGTGTGGACCGTGAGAGGAACATAACACTCAAATGGAAGAAGAATCGCTCTTCTAACGTAAATTAATATAAAAATATGTCAGCCCAACAAAAATCAAAGCAAAGCGTACTAATTAACCAGACACTACTTTTATGTCTCAACCCATTGCTATTCAGACGCTCCTGCTTGTCAATGCTGGACATTGTGTCCATTGTGCCAACTTCTAAATTACATTCTGCTCAGGAACCAGTTGGACAAATCAATGCATTTACTTAACTGAGCATGAAAGACCCCAATGAGAGATATTGACTGGTCGTCGCATTCACTGCTCGGAAGGCAAGATAGCATTTAAGTGCAACAACCTTTCCACTTTTGTCAAACATAGACTTCCTCCATTTTCTATCGAGTGTCTGTCCGTGATGACACAAACCAGACAAGTTTGAAGAAATGCACTTTTTTCTATCTTCCGTAGAGTTTGCACTCAGTTGAACAACTCTAAGTTCAGTCGATTCAAATGGTGAGAAATCTGCAGGTTTTTGTTTTCCTTCTCAATCCACGGGGCATTTCTCCACGCTTGGTCTCCTGACTGTTCTTGGCCTGTATTGTTGGATTGAGATGAGTTGAGGGGCTTTCACAGCAGCTAATCAAGATGTATGCACCTGGCCATGGGGGTTAGCGCTTGTGGGATGAACTGTTTTATTACTTCCCCCTCAAGTGAACAATACAAAGAGGTCTACTTCCGCCAGGTTAATATCTCTACCCAGCCCCCGCAGTTTGAATCAGGGTGACTTCTCCTGACTCCGTTAATGCTTCTTCCTGTTGCTTGTAAGAGAACTGAACAGTTGATCCATCACATTCCACAGTACCGCGTGTTCATTAGATACTGCATGCATTCAGAAACTAATCATCTATTTCTGCACACTTTTATTTATTTTGCTGTTTTTTTATTTAGATATTTGATTGCTTATGGATGTAAAATAAATCAAATATTTTTAATGCATGCTACAGTTACAGCAATCCTGCTCAAGGAAATAAATTAGGAATTTATGCCAACTGGTCAAGTTAATTTGTAAATGTATTTCTCTGTATCTCTTTGTTTCTGATATTATAGTTTTAATGCAGCCGTTATAAAGAAATGCATCAGAAACGGTTGCTCAAAGCCTAAGGCTCATGAATGCTCTCCATGAACAGCCTCGTTGCTGGATTTGAATGGCAGCTTTTTAAAAACAGAGCCGATCTGTATGCATCACACTCCTGAGCAGCCCACAGACTCCTTCTCCAGCTCCCGTCTTCACTTCAGCCTCAGTTCAGCTGTGGAGCTAACAACTGCTTCAGCCTGGGGATCTGCGGTCTTCTGCTGTGCTCCTTCGCAGCCTGCAGCCTGTTTGGAGTTTGTTCGGACTGAAGTTTCTGCTGTGCTCCTGAGCTCCAGTCAAGATGGGGTTCAGGTGCTGGCCAGGTGCAATAAACGCAGATGCACCTCTTTGTCCTCATTGGTAGAAATAACTCGTTCCTCGTTGTTTACCCTGTAAATCAATGTTTGTTAGAAACTAAAAAAAGAGAGATACTATCGTGCTGAATCCTCAAGATAAAGGGAAAAAATGCCCCTTGTTACATTTATTGGTATTTTGTTTATCTTTTATTATGTTTTGTGCTGTGTTGGTCAATATGTCTCTTTAGAATTCCATGCATGATGAAAAGCAATTAGCAAAACACTCGCATCACATTCAACACGGTTTCTTTTTGACAGGCCACCACCGACATGTACAACGAAACACTAATTTGCATTGACAAAATGAAATGAAATGCTGCATAAATGTTTATGTTGTGTAGGTGACCCAGCAGTGAACCAATGTGAATTCAAGTCCACTACACACTGAATTATCAAAGTTAATTTAACAGACTGTAATAAACACTTTATGGATTGCAGAGTCCCATCAGAGTTCAGAGTAGCTTTTGCATTTGCCTCAGAGCCATATCAGTTCTATCAGCACACACACACCTCTCCAGACAACATCTATCAACTCTGAATGCCTGCCACAGAAAAATCAACATTTATAATATTTCATTATTTGCTATGTATACACAATTCACTTCTGGCTGCGGCTTGCATTAAAACTTTGCATAGCTCCTTTTAGATTGGAACTCGCCAGCTGCATACAAAGTATGCAACAAAAACAAAAGTGCTTGTTGAGCCCTCCTGCTTCTTTACTGCTCGTTTTGCATTAAAATAACAGCCACGTGCATCTGTTGAATTCTCATCTCTGTGTCGTTTCGCAGTATGACTTTGTTGAACTAGTGGACGGCAGCCGGCTTATTGCCAAAGAGCACTGGGCGCTGAGCGAATCGGACACAAGAACCCGGCTAGATCATCCTGTCACCGTCCACCAGGCAGGATTCATCCAGTACCTGGACTCGGGGGTGTGGCACTTTGCATTTTATAATGACGGCCGAAGTGTGGAAGTTGTCTCCTACAACACCATCATCCAGGGTAAGAGGACACGCATCTGCCGGGGTGGCTAATGAGTGTGATTGGAAGGGTGTGTAATGACATGTTTGGAAGACTTTAATTTCCTGAAACAGCTGTGCCAGCATGAACTGTGAGAGTGTTTGGAAATCCGTCTGCCACACAAACGAGTTGAGTTTTCCAAGCTCAAGGTTTACTTCTCAGTGTAGAGATTTATTGTGCTTAGTACCAAAACGTGAGATCATACACAACATTGATTCTTCCATTCTAACAACCTCTTCACTGAAGTCGGTGAAATTTCCTTGTGAGTTTTGAGCCAGGAACAAAAAACACTAAGGTTCAGTTAACGTGGGTTTGTTTTTTTTTGTTCTTTCCTTTGGGGAGTTCCATTGATCCAGGCCGACAAATATGAAGGTATCGATGTGTGAGGTCAAAATTGCTTGGGTCTGGCAGTGGCTCAATGAACATCCAATACAAGCTGAAGTAATAACATAAAAGTTGGCCCTCTTAACGCCCATCAAAATGACGACCCCGGTCTTTTGGGGGTGCGATTTATGAGCGTTGGTCTGTTGAAAGAACACAAGATCTGTCTGTAGGATATGTCAGATTAACTTCAACTCAGAGAGGATTTGAGCTGTAAACACTCAGGAGATCGCATGGCTCGTGTGGCATGATCAGTCATTCAAGATGTTGGGGTGGTGCTGAAGTCTTCTTCTTCTTTCAGCTGCTCCCCTGCGTTACGAGTCACCACAGTGAACTGTCACACAAAGTGCTGAAGTCTATAGATGTTATATTCATGCAACCTTTATTTATAGATGTTAGTCCCATTGAGCCTCGGGGAATCATTTACAAGAGAGACCTGAGTAGTCTATAGTTGTTGATTCAGGAGTCCTAGCCAATTATGGACCTATATCTAATCTAACATTCATCTCAAACATTCTTGAGAAACTAGTTGCAGGTCAGTTTGTGATCATCTGAACAGAAATAATCTGAAGAGTTTCAGTCAGGCGTCAAAGTTCAAGACAGGGGACAGGACAGTCCCCAGAAACCATCTTATCTCCAGCAACCTGGTTGGTCCACTTAAAGAGTGTACTGCATAGAGGAGAAACGGTTTACTTGTGACTCCTCATACTGATGAAGCCCTCCAGATAGAGGGAGAAACATATTCCCACAAAAAAGAAACTGTCCAGATGACCTGACAGCATTATTGGAGTTTGAGTCAGGGATTAGAGCTCACCACAGCACTGACTCTGCACTCGTGAAAGTTACTAATGATATTCTCATGACCTCTGACAATGGACAGGTGTCTACACTGGTCCTGTTAGACCTCAGTGCTGCATTTGATACAGTTGATCATAATATTCTATTACAGAGACTTGAATATGATATTGGGATTACAGGAATGACTCTAAATTGGTTTAAATCATATTTATCTAATAGATTATAATTTGTAAATGTAAATAATGAATCTTCATCATACACCATACATATATGCTTCCATTAGGTAAAGTTATTAAACAACATGGGATAAAGGTTCATTGTTATGCTGATGATACACAGTTATATTTGTCCATTAAACCCAATGAATCCAATCAGCTACTTAGACTACAAGCATGTCTTAAAGACATAAAAACCTGGATGACCCTTAATTTTCTCCTGTTGAACAGACAAGACTGAGGTTTTGGTTTTTGGACCTGAGCACCTCAGGAATGAATGTTTCAGTCTTTCTCCCTCCTTAGATGCATTAATCTGTCCTCCAGCTCTAATGTTAAAAATCTTGGTGTTATTTTTGATCAGGACACGTCTTTTATCCCACACATTAAAAACATTACTAGAACCTCCTTCTTCCACCTGCGTAATATCACTAACATTAGAAACATCTGATCTAAAGATGATGCAGAAAAACTGGTCCATGCATTTGTCACGTCTAGACTGGACTATTGCAATGGTTTATTATCTGGGTGTCCAAATACTTCTTTAAAACGTCTTCAGTTGATCCAAAATGCTGCTGCCAGAGTCTTAACTGGAGTTACTGGGAGAGATCATATCTCTCCAGTTTTAGTTTCTCTCCATTGGCTCCCTGTCAAATCCAGAATAGAATTCAAAATCTTACTTCTAACCTACAAAGCTCTCAACAACCTAGCTCCATCTTATTTTATATATCTTGTCGTTCCATATTTTCCTAAAAGAGCACTTTGATCTCAGACTGCAGGTTTACTTGTGGTTCCTAGAGTTTCCAAAAGCAGAATGGGAGGAAGATCTTTCAGTTCTCAGGCTCCTCTCTTGTGGAACCAACTTCCAGTTTCTGTCCATGAGGCTGACACATTGTCCAGTTTAAGACTGGGATTAAGACTTTCCTTTTTGATAAATCCTATAGTTAAGGTTGGCTTGTTATGCTGCTATAGACTTAGACTACTAGAAAACAACTTGACCTCATTTTCTTAAATGAATTGTTAAAATTGAATAATTTTCATTTGATACTATTTCTATCTGAACATGTGATTCTTGACCTGCCATTGTGTATCTGTTCCTACTAAACCCAGCCGGTCGAAGCAGATGGTCCTCTTGTCCTGATCCTGGTTTTGCTAAAGGTTTCTTCCTCATGAGGGAGTTTTTCTTTCCACTGTCGCCTTCATGCTTGTTCAAGATGAGAGTTCAGTGATGGAGTTAAACTCAAAGCTGCTCCTCAGATAAATAATGTTAAATTATTATTTCTATATATAAATGTTTCTGTTCAGTCCCTGAGACGACTTCTGTTGTGACTTGGCGCTGTATAAATAAACTGAATTTAATTGTCTATAGTTGTTATAGTCTATAGATGTTATAGTCTATAGTTGTTATAGTCTATTGATGTTATAGTGTATAGTTGTTATAGTGTATAGATGTTGTAGTCTAT